CTTTCTCATCAACCCAACTATTATTTCTAATTATTTCATTAATTTATATGAAAAAAAAAAGTCTGTTGTTTTTACATGTTGTTAACATCACATACTTATGAGAGATTAACCAAAGTAATATATGTTGTACACAACTTTCATGACATTGCTAAAATTATTACTACAGTCATTAACACTTTGCCAAGCTTTTTCTGATTACATGTTAATTGAAGTAGATCTAGAGTTGGTAAATGAAAAATTAAAAGAAAGACAAGTAGAAACAGAAGAAATTCCGAGTTGCAATAACAACTCTATACATAGACAAAAAAGAAAAACAGAAATAATTGTACTTGTAAAATACTGAAAAATACAGACTTTAAGCGTAGAGTTTCAGCTACAACTTCATACCAGATACTGTCATAGCCTGAAATTTGTAAGGTGGCTGAAATCTGAAACCTGTATCTGTGAAAAAATTGCTGGTTCTAACTAGACTAGATATGATGCAATAATTTAATCTGATAGCAGATGCACTGCAACTGTCAAAATTTGCCAGAAATTAAATTTACTGATATTTGACTACTGATACTCTAGGTGTTTTCTTATTTATCGGATACAAACAGTAAAATAGTACACCACCTCAACAGCAATGTTTACGACATAGAGAAAAAAATCAGACCCATGTCTTAATTGAGACGAAATATTTACCCCAACATTCAAAAAGTTGACCTTGATAAAACTAATTACTACTTGTTAAAAAATTTTCGCAAGTATTTTACTTTATGTATAACTTTATTGATTCTTCGCAAGGTCTTGGCAAATGGCGGTCGCGTTTTTTTAACTGTTAAAAAAGCTAAAGTAAAGATAAAGAATAAAGTTAAACTCAAATCAAAAGGTAAATATTGTTTTTATAAAGTCACCAATAAATCATAATCACCAATAAATCATAATCAAGCTCTCATGAATTAATTTAAAACAAACAGTTAAATCAAGAGAAAAAGTTTACAAAAAGATAAACAGAATTTCGAACTAAAAAAAAAAAAACTCTTACGTAAAACAGTAAAAGAACGAAAAAAAAAAAAAAAAAAAAAAAAGAAAGAAAGAAAAAAGTTAACAAATAAAAAAAAAAAAAAAAGGAAAGATAAAGAAATTTACAAACAAAGAATAAGAAGATTGGTTGTTTTATACTTATTTTTTAACAATTTAATTTGTAATATTTAAATTTCTAGCAATTTGATTTAATTTTATTTTGTAGAAGTATTTGCGTTTGCTTTTTCGTTTTGTATTTTTTGGGTTTCATCTTGTAGTTTTTGTATTTTGTCTTTTCGTTTAAGTAAGGTTTGTTTTCTATTTGTTCTGTTTTTCTAATTATTTTAATTTTTGTTTGCTGTTGTTATTGAGGGTTTTCATATTTTTTGTCTTATTATTTAACTTATTTTAGTTTTATCGTTGCTATTATTATTTTATTTATTTTCTTAGCGATTTTCGATTCATATTTGTTATTTTTATTATTGTTTTATTATTATATTACTTGTTATAATTAATTGGTGTCACTCATTTTGATCATGAGTGGCACTCATGTCATCATATTATTTGTATTATTATAGATAATATTATTATTTTTAATTATTATTGTTATAATTATTTGGTGTCACTCCTTTGAACAGGCTTCTGTTTGAGTGACACCTTTCTTTTCTAATAATTATTTATATTTATTCTTATTAGTTATATTTTATTATAATTATATTGTTTGTATCATTATAGATAGATTATTATTTTTTAATTATTATTGTCAAAATTATTTGGTGTCACTCCTTTGATCAGGCTTCTGTTTGAGTGACACCTTCGTTTTTAAATAGTTATTTATATTTATTTTGTAGTTATATTTTACTTATTAGTTATATTTTATTATAATTATATTGTTTGTATTATTATAGATAATATTATTATTATTATTGTTATTATATGATTATATGTAAATTTTGAAAAGGAAAATAAATATCTTGTTGTTGTTGTTGTTGTTGTTATTATTATTGTTATTATATAATACAGTTTTTCAATACAGAATTAGATTTTGAATCATTTTTTAAGACAGAAAAATTGTAATTCTGATTTAAAATTATTTTTATGTTCATTGTTTATTTTTTGATTTCAAATCATTCAAAAAAATAATTTTATCCAACACTGTATGTATGTAATCATAATTGTACATTTACAGAATATAATGAGTTTATCTAAATGTATATACATAGGCGCCTGAAAAATAATATCTAAAAAAGTTTTTTTAGATATTACCCCTTTAGGCACTCTGCAAACTTCCAACTTAGATGTGTTCATGTTTATATTAAATAAAAATGTTTTGCCAAACTTGTGGTGAGTGGAACCTAGTAAAATTGTGTTGATTAGAAGACTGGAACCTAGTAAAAAAAAAGTTAAAATAAACACAATAAAAGTATTTTTACTATGTTATACTAAATTTAGGTTCATTGACAGTTTTTAAATTTCATCTTATAACCTTAAGTGCTTGTAAGTTATAATTATCAGGCTTGGTCGGGAAGCAAGAGTGATTGCTCTCATTTACTGACCACGGAAATAATGTTTAGTTACAAAAAACTGACCAGATTTTTTAGTCTTTTTGAGAACATTTCAAAAAGCAAAAAAAAAGCGCTAAAGATTGGACCGATGAGAGATAATTACAACAAAAAAAAGAAAAAAAAAGAAATTTAGAAAATAAGATATCTTTTAATGCGAAAAAATTTAAAGCAAAATAAATTACATTTAGAACAAAAATTTTAAAATCATTGCTCTTGAAATTTTTTTATAAAATTAAGCGACATTTTTTATATAAAGTAACATCTTAGGATTTTTCAAAAAGAAACAAATGTTCTTTATTTAACAAAGAGTGTAATATAATTTTTATTTATATACTAGTGTCTTATTTTCAGTGCTATTAAGGAGGGTTGGAGTTGAGGGGGCTATAGCCCCGGGCCGCACAATGTTAGGGGCCCTTTTTAGACTTTTTTTATAGTAATTTTTATGCTGTGGCACATAAAAAGACCTCCTAAATAAAAAAAGCCCCCTGCCCTGAAAATTCTAACAAGATTCTAATAAAACTAATGCAACTTTTAGTTTTATTTAAGTTAAGTTATTTTATGAATAAAAAAGTTAATTTTTTTAATAACTTTTTTATGCTTTGCGTAGTTTGAAAAGTTTATCATATTTGAAACAATTCTTCTTAGTATGATGAACAAATGAAATGATTAAATCATTGAATTACTATAGAAATTAAATTAACTAGATAGAAATCAACTAATAAGGTTAAAAATACTTTATGACGAGGAAGCAAAACTGCTTCACAATATCGCTGATGATGTTTAGTGAGTGGGCTTATTAATTTTAGTATTTAAAGCAGAAAAAAGTATAATGAGTTTTTAAAAATGGCAACTGAAGCGAAAATAATTAGAGTTAGTAAACCGATATCTAAAAACTTTTCTTTTTATTTGATAACTTGCTATATATATATATTTGTGTTCTGTTGTGACCTCAGGCAAGGTGCTTGTTCAACCGCAAACTACTTTGTATGCATGTTTGTATTTAGTAACCAGAAACTTCTTATGTTTATTTCATAATTTATTTTTGTTAACTTTGATGATTATTAGAAAACTTCATTGAAAATGCAATTATTGTTGTAAATCTTTGTTTACATAGTAAATCATAAAAATTGCTTTAAAAGATTACATTAGAATAAAAAACAGTTACACAAAATTACATTTACATAAAAAATACATACTTTTTAAATAAAAAATAAGAATATACTAATAAAATCTATAATTTGTAATAAACTTTCAAAATTTTGACAATTTAAAAAGTATGTATAAAACATTTATTTTTGTAAACAAATAATAGTTTAAAATATTTACCACTTTGCAGATGTGGCTCCGAGAATGAGCCATAGTATTAAAGTTTGTTTGAAATCATAAAACGTAAAAAATCATGAATAATACAATTTTTAAAACATTTCAACAGAATATTTTAGAACTTTATTTTGCTTAGTCAGTGTATTTTTTGAACCAATAGAATTAGTTTGTTTGTAGATTTGACAGGTTTTTAATGTTCGAAATTATTCTTTTTATTCTTCCGCACCAAGATGTTTTGAGAAAATTTAAGTTTATATATGTTTCCATGTATGTCCAGAAAAACAAAAAATTTTTGTTACATACACAAACTTAAATGATCTCAAAATGACTAAAAAACCTGGCCAGTTTTTTTTTTGCTAGTATATATTTACAATATTTATTTTATTATAGCTTCATTATATTTACAGTATTTAAATACAGTATATTTAGCATTCTAATTGCATATAGTTTTATAATTGACAAAACGATTATAATTTGCATAAAGGTGTTTGTAGATGGTACAGATGGTGTTTGTAGATGGTATTTATAGATGGTGTTTATGGATGTTTGTAAATAGTGCAGATGGTGTTTGGAGATGGTGCATGTGGTATTTACAGATATTGTTTCTAGATGGTGAATAGTGTTTGTAAATGTGCATAGTGTTTGTAGGTGGTGTAGATAGTAATAGTGAATAGTGTTTGTAAATGTGCATAGTGTTTGTAAGTGGTGTGAGTAGTGTTTGTAAATGGTGCAAATGGTGTTTTTAGATGGTGTAAATGATGTTTGTAGATAAGTTTCTCTTACAGTGTTCAGTCATTTGTGTTTTAAGATGGAAAGACTTTTTCTAGATAGAACAAGAATTTGATACTGCATATACAATTTTATAAACAAAGAACATATTAATATAATTAGAATCTACAGTGGAATTAGATGTATGTGTTCTAATCTTTTGATTTAAAATTTTAGAGTCTCAGCTGGTTATTAATTAGCCTAAAATGTTTGATTATTTCATTACTTTAGAGTCTCAGCTGGTTATTAAATAGCCTAAAATGTTTGATTATTTCATTACTTTAGAGTCTCTGCTGGTTATTAAATAGCCTAAAATGTTTGATTATTTTATTACTTTAGAGTCTCAGCTGGTTATTAAATAGCCTAAAATGTTTGATTATTTCATTACTTTGTGTATTATGGTCAAGCTGTGGTATAAGTTACTATTTACCAATGTTAGAAAATTATATACCTGCTCTAAAAAATAACAGGTTTGTTTTTGTGAAATTTTTTTACTTTTGATTTAAATGAATTCAAATAAAATAAATTTATTACTTTGTAATAGTTTTATAACATTACAGTTGTTTTTTTTTTACTATTTTTTACTAAATAAGTCTACTTGAAATAACATTTGTTATTTATTTATTTATTGTTTTAATATTTTTTTAAGAATAAATTTATATCATTTTTGAATACAGTTGGTGGGAAGCTTACAAAACTGCACAATCATTTCGATTTAGTCATTATTTTGTGTGTTATATATCAGAATCATCTTGTTTGTTTGCTGGCGTATCAACAATAGTCACTAATGAAAACAATATTGTAATCAAAAAAGAAACTAAAAAAGATATAAATACAAATGAAAGTGGAAGCACAATAAAAATTTTATGGTAAGTGATTCTGCATTATCTATGTGTGAAGGAGTTTAGTTTTTTTTATATATATATAAAAAATACTATATATACTAAATATATAAATATATACTAAATATATAAATGTATACTAAATATATAAATATATACTAAATATATAAATATATACTAAATATATAAATATATACTAAATATATAAATATATACTAAATATATAAATATATACTAAATATATAAATATATGAATATATAAATATATATATATATATATATATATATATATATATATATATATATACATATACAGAGTTTATTTAGACATCATTAAAAATGTTATAAAAAACATAAAATGACTCACAAATAGATCTTACAACAAGATAATGATTCAAAGCAATGTGCCAAAAAAAATCTGAGTTTTTGAAAGTTTTTTACAGAGCCCAGATCTCAATCCTACTGACCATCTTTGGGGGTACATTGTCCGGCAATTAGTTTGTAGAAAAACAATCAATAAAAATTATTTATTTGCATTGAATAAAGAATGTTGGTATAATATTCCTCAGGATGTTCTCATTAAAGAACATCCCGAGGAATATTATACCAACATTCAATCCCTCATCGTCTCTATGTCGTAGATTCAATCCCTTGTTGCTGTGATGCTGTTTTAAAAGCAAATGGATATGCCACCAAATACTAATTGTTTTATGAAAACTATTTTATTGTTAAAAAATTGTTATTTTGTGAATTTTAGTAAAGGTTTCAGCTGTTTTAAACTAAATATTAATCAAATTCAGTTATTTCTAAACTTTTGCACGGAAGCTTTATCATAAAAATAATTAAATGTTAATTAAATGTTCAAGTTTTACAACTTTTGTGGTTTGTATTTAAAATTAAAATAATATAGAGCACATTTAGTAAATATTTCAGCTTATTTAAGAAAGTTTGTGAAAAGTTATACAGTAAAAACTGAAGAAAAGTTGGTGTTTCTAAACTTTTGCATACTACTGTATATATATATGTATATATGTATATATATATATATATATATATATATATATATATATATATATATATATATATATATATATATATATATATATATATATATATATATATATATATATATATATATATATATATATATATACAAAAACTATGTTACATAATGTTATTACATTCGAAAATTTATTAAATAATATTGTTTACATCAACAAAGAGACTGAATACATTTTTAAATGGAATTTTGTTTTTATACAGAGTTACAGTTTTCGGTTTCATTATAATATGTTTTAAATTTTAAATAGTCTTTTAAACCCATGATTTTTTGTTCATCTACCTTGTTATACAGATTATATTTATTTTGTGTTTATGAGACTACTTATGAGACTACTATGTGTTTACTTAAGGCAGCTATTTTTTGAATGATTAGAGTTTTTTAAGGCTCCTATGTTTTGAACATTTTTTTCATCAATTGTAAAACTGGTTGGTTGTTCTGGTTGATTCGAATTTAGTTTTTTGCTTTGGGAATGTTTATGAAATGTCAAAACTGGGACTTTGTGCTTGTTACTTGCTTGTCATTTAACTGTTAGACAGTATATTGACCTGTATTTAGATCAACCTAGGTTTTTGCAATGTAATTTTCTTTATATGATCACTTTTTGTATGGCTTGTACCCTAGTTTTTTTTTATCTAAGTCCTTGTTATTCTGGAAGAAAAAAAGATTAACAAATTAGACTATTCATTTAAAAATGATAAATCTTTAAGTAATATTTTCTGTATGCAATATCCCCCATGTACATAATAGCTCGTGAAAATTTTAATTTTATTTTTTAAAGGTAACCACTTACCATGGATTTAATACATTTTTATAATTAATGGCTTTTTACTTTTTTTTTCATAATACTTTTAAACACTACTAGTACACTTTATTTTTTTTGGTAAAAGTATTCTGACAACAAAATTTTTTGTTGAGTTTTTTATTTTCTCTGGTCAAAATACACAATAGCTTGAGTCTACTGTACAACTCAGGTTCACTTGATACTAATATATTTTGCTTACTTTAATTTTTGAAATTCAAAATAATATATATTTGTATATATTTAATTTTTAGGTCTCATTCTGTTTAGGTCCCATTCTGTTGCTAGAATGTTTCAAATTGAGCTTCCACGATCTTTAGTAGATGTAGTCACAAATTGGAATCTTCCTCACCATTATTGGTTAAAACAATGTACTATTCTTATTTTATTAGTTAATGTGCAATGTTTCAAATTAAAAATCAAATTGTTTCAGTGCTAAATTAATGAAGCAAGATAAAAGATTTCTGTTTTGTACAATGCCTAAAATTAATTGATTTCTGTTTTGAACAATAAAACTATGGTAAACAGTTAAAATATAATTTAGTAATAATTATTTTAGACACATTGTTCATAGTCATTTTAATTAAGATTTGCAATATTTTGTTTTATTAATTAATGTGTGTTAAGTTTTATTTTGTAGACGTTTTTAAACCTGTACGAAGGTTTGGTGTGTTACCAGCCATTTTGATTACATATATAGCTAGTTCATTCTTGCATGCAAGTTTTTAATTTGTTTTGTTTTTATCTATATTTCAACATCCTTTTTCATACTTTATTTATATTTATAATTTAGTTAATTTTTAAACTGAAAATTTTTAGAGCTTAAACTTTCAATTGTCTGCTGTGCTACTCTCTATTGGTCTGTTTGCATATGTAGAAAGCGGTGAGTTGTTTTAGTTTATTTAATCTATTTTATATTTTATATATATAGAATATAATAATATTTTAGTTTTATTTAGTCATACAACCCTCGGAATTAGGGTCAGCATTTAGCAATGTTGACCTAACTGCCAACCTAAAAGTATTTGACCTAAAAGTTGGCAATATTTTGCCGACCTTGTTTCTATGTTTTATGGTAAGACCTTTGTATCAATTTTTTTTTGCCGACACCTAAAAGATTGAGGTTGGCAAAATATTGCCGACCTCATTTTTCCTAATTCCGAGGGTTAGTCATATATATTAAAACCACAAATAAATAAATATTAAAGTAATAAGAGTAAAATTTTTTTTTTTTTTATGTTTAGTTTTTCGCAATTTTCTTGCGGTTTTACTTAGTGCTTGTGTAGAGGCTCGCAAGTGCAGACCTGGATGTAATCATGTGTATAAAAAAGTAGGGTTTTCAAAATTTATATAATTTTTGGTCTTTTTATTATTATTATTATTATTTTTTTAATTTTGTAATTTTCATAGAACACAGTATGGGTGATGATGTTTAATGTGTTCTTTATATATTTTCATAGAACACATTATGGGTGATGATGCTTAATGTGTTCTTCACAATTGCTGCTTTATGGAACCTTTCTTATCTCGGTTGTTTATTTGACAATGGAGGGGAAGAAGAAAAGGTAAGTAAACCTGTTTTTACAGCTTTTTTGGAATTGCCCGAATTGCTAGCTATTCTCATCTTATTAATTATATTAAAAAGGAAAATGTTGTTGTTTTTTTTTTCAGTGTAAATTTTTAACATTTTTGTATACTTAGGGATACTCATTACATCACACGTTAAGAAAGTGGCAAAGTTATGGATTTTTGAATCATTATGTCATGTTATTGATATTTGCTATTAACTGGTTTTGCAATATTTTTCATTCGATTTAGTCATGTTTTCATTTTTTTTTTTTTTCTTTTAATATTTTTTATTTTAACAACTATCTTTTGATTCATTTTTTATGAAACTATTATTTGGGGCTTTTTTGAACTACTATTTTTAGTACTTTTTTAACATAACTAATATTTGCATAGCTTTTTTTACATAACTATTTTTTTACATTTTTTGGTTTTTTATTTTACCATTTATAAAGTTTAAGTATATATATATATATATATATATATTTTTTTTTTTTTTTAAGATAAAAAATTTGAGCTAATATATATATATATATATATATATATATATATATATATATATATATATATATATATATATATATATATATATATTAAGATAAAAAATTTGAGCTAATATATATATATATATATATATATATATATATATATATATATATATATATATATATATATATATATATATCACTAAGTTAAAAACAGGTATGTTGTAGCTATAATTTATTTCAACTCTAATCGTGTTAGTTGTGCAAAGTTGACATATTTATTATTTTCTGGGAAGTCTTATATTTTGTTATTTTAGTTGTAACTTATAAAATCATCTTTTGTATATAAAATCAGACACTTTTATATATTTATATTTTGCGTATATTTGTTATTACGAACTTTATTATTGCCATCATGTTGTTTATTTTTGTTTTTAATGTTTTGCTGATCAAATGCATAAATTTTCTAAAAAAGTTTAAGGAAAATATATATGACAATATAAAAAAAAAGAGATTTTTTTATCATTATAAATACACCCATATATTCTACTTTTTTTTTAGGAAAGACCACAATTCAATTCTTTGTGACAACTGTGACTAAATTAAGACTACTTTTTTCAAAAAAAGAGCTACACATCTGCATTTTTATTAATCAACTCACCCCCAGTAAAGTTTTAATAAATTTTTGAAATTTAAGATCAGATTTTATAACTCTTACTAAATTATTCAGACAACATCTCAAAAAAAATCTAGCTATATTAGTATAGCTAGATTTGTGTTCATTTTTAAATTTTTTTAATTGTTTTATTGAATTCCTTGCCCCGAAATAGTTAAGTGATCATATTTTCAGCTTCCATTGCATACAGAACAGAAACAAATATCAAAACAATTTTTTTAAATAAGGGGATTTTTTTAAATGGGGAGATTGTTGTGGGTAAAGTTAAAGTAGTGATCTTTAAAAATTGTCAGAAACAGATGATGAAATTTTAAGGATGTTTATAAAATGATTCTTTGCAGATAATTACCATTATATACTCTATTCATAATCAGACAATTGAAATGAAATTGGGTGTTGACATTATTTCTCCAGACATGTAATGGTTGTGTTGCACTTCTTGTTATGAGCTCATCTGATAGTCCATGCTTTTCGGAAAGTGATCATCAAACATCTGAAACTACACTTGAAAATAATGATCTTGGTAAAGAACTACTGGAAGCTTCCAGACTGGGAGATACAAGTCGTGTTAGTAGTTTGATGAGTAATGGAGCACCACTTACTAATGATTGGGTAATTAGAGGGTTTAATTTTTTATTTAAAATTTAAATTACATTGTAATATTTGAACTTTGAGAAAAAATTGTAAGTAAAAGATGAATTTTTTTCTTATGTTTAGTTAGGAACAATGTTATGTAATGTTATGTTTAGTTAGGAACAACACCATTACATCTTGCCTCTATTTATGGTCACACTTCAGTTGTTGAAATTCTTATTAAATCTGGAATAAATAGAGATGGGCGTAATAAGGTATATTTATTTATTTTTTCAGTTTTAATTATTCTTTAAATTTTGATTGTGTATTTTATTTTATAGTTGAACTCACGAATGCATGCAATCCAATTGAGCTCAAGCTTTCATGCAATAGAATTGAGCTCAAGGTTTCATACAATCGAATTGAGCTCAAGCTTTCATGCAATCAAATTGAGCTCAAGCTTTCATGCAATAGGTTTGAGCTCAAGCTTTCATGCTATAGAATTGTAAAAGATATTTTATGATTAGGTTGATAAAGCTCCTTTACATTTTGCATGTCAGCATGGTCATTTTGAAATAGTCAAATTACTTGTAGATAATGGTGCAAATATAAACTCTTTGGATATGGTATGTGTGACAATGTAAATTGTTTAAAATTTAATCTGCATGTATTAGTAATAAACTTTCATAACGGTTCAAAAGGTTTTAGTTTTTGAAATATTGTAAACCCTAATTTCAAAATTTAGACATTTTTGAAAAATTATATTTTAGTTAAAAATGACTCCATTGCATTGGGCAGTCGAAGCAAATAATTATGAAATTTGTTTACTACTTCTCAAAATGGGTGCAAAGACTTCTCTACAAAATAAAGTAATTAAACTTTTTAAATTTTTGTTCTAATTTTTGATAAGGATGAAGTCAAATTTTAGATAAAATAAGGGTGAAGGATCAAATTATTATCAATTTGTTTCTGTTTTAATGTTTAGTTTGGAAAAACTGCATTTCAAATAGCCAAAGAAAAATCGTTTTTGTCAATTGCTGATTTGCTTTGCGTTAAAGAGGTAAATTTTTTCATAAATAGCAAATAAAATAATAAACAAATATGATGTCAAATAAGCAAATATGATGTCAAATAAACATTAGGCAAATAAGGCATTTAAAAAATAATACATTTATTAATTATTTAATAATAATACATTTGTAATATATTTAGGCTCTAGACTTATTGACTTTTTCTCTTTAAAAATAACAAAATCAAGTACACATTATGTAATTAAATTTTATCATTTTTTTAAAAACAAAAAAAATGTAATTTGAAAGGCTGGAATATTTTTTATTTTTTAATAAAAATAAATATATAAATACATACACACATACATACATGTGTGTGTGCGTGTGAAATGGATGTTCATATATATATATATATATATATATATATATATATATATATATATATATATATATATATATATATATATATATATATATAAACATCCATGCAAACAAAGAATAATTTTGCAGACTAGACTACTAGATTCACTTCTGAGAAAAATATCAGAATGCAAACAAGTTTTTCATATTTCAAAAGGTTTGGTTTAAAATTATAATCAGATTTAACATCAGATTGTATAATAAACCACCTAACTTAAAATACCTCACCTTAAATAGATAACTATCTTGTTTTGCAAGCGCATTTATTGTAATTTTATTCTTTTTTTATTATTGGTTATTTTTTATATATTTTTTTTTAATTTCTGTTTCTTTTTTAGATGAACATTAATGGTATGTTTATTTTTTTTTATTATCAAATTTTCATTAATAAATATTTAAATTACTTGTAAAATTATTTGACTTTCTAATATACTTTGAGTGATCTAGATAAGGATTTATTTAGGTAATTAATAATTATTAATTTGACTTTTGATTTAAGGTTTAAAAAGTTTATTTGGCATAAATCTTAATAATAATAAATTTAAATAAAAACCATAAACAAACTTCCAGGATTTGAGTTTGATTATCCAAAAGATTACTGGCTACCTTAGTTACCTTAGTTCCTCAAAAACTGGTGTTATTATCTTAGAAAAATAAAAATGGTGGTTGGCTAATTATCTTAGGTTGGAAAATAAAAATGGTGGTTGGCTAATTATCTTATGTTGGAAAATAAAAATGGTGGTTGGCTAATTATTTTAGGTTGGAAAAATAAAAAAGGTAGTTGGCTAATTATCTTAGGTTGGAAAATAAAAATGGTGATTGGCTAATTAGAGCAGTATAAAAAATTATGGCAAAAATTATTTTTTCTTGGTTTTTATAATGTTCAGACATTTATTTATAAAATTGTTTGGATTTAAATAGGCTTTTTAACACAATAATTATATATATTAGTAATAATTAAATTAAATATATTAGGGCAATCTAAATAAATGTACTATTTAACTTATACACCATACATCATTTAAGCTTTTACAAAAAAACAATTGTTTTTTATTTTGTTTTAGCATCATCTTACCAAAGATTAGATGATTTTGCCTCAGCTTTTAGTTGTGGTAATGTAACAAGTACACCGTCTACTCACATATCAAAGTTGATTGAAAGTAGTTCTCACCTCCAGACGGATAAAGTTGCTCATTCCATTTATTTGCCTGCATCAAATATTCATATTCCATTTAAAATGCCGTCGGAAATTGCTGCATTATCTAAAGATAGTTTTAATCCAAATGTTCTGCACAGTGGAATTCCAGTTATCACTTCGCAAGCATTAAGTATGCTCCCTCCTAATATCCAAGCAATTCCGTTAAATGTTAGTTCTACGTCAAGCAATCAGTCACTAAAAAATACATCAAATGTCATTTGCAATAGTAATATTTGTTGTCCAGCTTCTCAAGCATTCACAGCGTCTTTAGCACAAGCTGTTAGCCATTCAATAAACAATTACAATACTCAAACAAACGTGTGCCCTCCAAGCATAATTCCAACAGCTCAGCCTTCAACACTTTTGACCTCTAATATTTTGCAAGAGCCTACTGTTCCTATAAATATTCCTTTTAGTCTGCTAACCCAAATAATTGATAGTGGTGTTAAACTGTATGCTCGTCAATCAGTATCAGAATCAGGAATGGGGTTTGTTGGCATAGATACACCAATGGGAACAATACCCATTTTACCTAGTAATCAGGAAGATGGACTACAACTTATAGCTGTTGGTACCGAAAGTAATACACCATCTTCTTTAGTTTTTCCATGCTCACACTTACCATCTATAGTTGATTCACTACCTCAAATAAGTCATAACTCTACTCCATTGCATTTTCGATCACATGGTTTTCCACAATATCCTATAGGGGCTCCAATGGGAGCACCTAGAATAAATACGATGAGTAATGTTGGATTTGACTTTCCTAATTGTACACTAGAAAATAAAAGTACCCTTGATGGGAGTTTTCAGTTGTTTGGAAATGAAAGGGAAAAAGTACCTTCAATGATCTCATATTATCCTGCTTGCTCTTCGAATATTCAATTGCAACAAGTGATATCTAATCAGTCAGCCCCTTTAATCCTTCATTCACATTCTACAAACATTGTTCCCATACATCATTCTGGTTTATTTTCTGGTCAGCATGGAACATATCAATTATCAAATAATATTTTAGATCAAAAGAGCATTGTTACGCAAAGTAATTGCAATTTTTTTTGGTTTTAAAATTTCAAACATTCTTTTATACAAAGTTTTGAAACCTAATTTATTTTAGTTTTTTTTAGGTCCGACTCCTGTGTTTTTTTCAAATGGTTTGTGTCTTCAGCCTTATATCAAGCAGTGTTGCCATCCAATACTTCCACCTATTCAATCATTGGATTTATCATTGCAAAATCACATGCGTCCAATTTACGTTCCTGTAAACAACTCAATAGTTAATCAATTGTCTCTTTTTCCTTATTCTGGTCAATCTATTTTTATGCCCTCTGTTTATTCTGCAGATTTTTTACACCAGACCTCTTCACCATCAGTGTTCAAAGTATGATTATTTTTTATGTTATAAATTTTTTTAAATTTATTCATCAATGCAATTATTAAAAATGGCTATAAACATAGCTTGAAAATTTAATGCCTTGGAGTACTTACTTTTAGCAAGTAGGAGTACTTGGGTAAATGTTTGACTAAAATCTCAATTTTTTTTATTCGGTATTATGAGTTAGTAACCATATTAATATAAAATGTTTGTCTTGAGTAAAAACACTTTAAATAATTGAAGTATTTAGTTTTAGCATAGTTGTAATATTTATTATCAATTTTTTCCTAAGTATATATATAATATGGTAAAGGCTTTTGTGTTTTTCCTCTCTGTCAGTTTGTTTTAAAACTGTTTTAAAGGCAGTTGATATGTTAAAGCATACTAATTTAAGCCACTGTAAAGTTTTTCTTTATTTTAACTCTGAAATGCCAACCTTGTCAAACAAGGTAAACCACAAAAAAGTTGGTATAGGTTCATTATCTCCAATTTTAATTATCATTTGATTTATTTCTAAATAGACAACTGTTGAGCAATTATTTTATCTTCAATCGGGACATGTACAAACGTTTTTTTGTTTAACTAATCTATTGTCTTTTTGTTATAACTCCAGTGAGAAAAAAACGTAGTTAAGACTTATAAAAGACGTATTAAAACGTTTTATAAACGTGTTAAACACGTCTTTTGCCTACTAGGATGAGTGCTTGTTACATCCAGTCAGAGGATATATTAGTGTATAAATTTTATTGAACATTTCACAATCTTTACATGATCTTTTTGGTCTTTTTGCTGTTTGAATGTATAAGTCTGAAATTTTTTTACTGAGCATTTTTATTTTATATCAGTAGTGATGGAGCGGCGGTAGTACTGCAGTGATTAGAGCGTTTTATCTTCTGTGTGAGAGGTTTTTAGATCAATCCTCACCTCCTTCTTGGTAGCGAGACCACTTCCTCTTTGGTGAAGTGGTCTCGCTTGTCATATTTAGTATTATTCCTAGGTCAAGAGGTAGAGAGAAAAAGGGGAATCTCCTTCACTTTTGAGAAAAAAATAATTTTTAAAAAACAGATCATTGTTTTAAGTTCAATTTTTTTTATTTCTACTTTACAAGTAGAGAAATAGTTACGCATTTCCAGGCATTTTGTCATTATTTTAACAATGGCAGAAGTTTGTGATTCTATATTTTTTTAGACATAATTTTAATCCCATGTTATTTGCTCCTTTTTTTTTTTTTTTGTATTGGAGCATGTTGTCTTTTAGCGAATATTTTTGATTACAAATATTTTTTAACTTTTTTATGTATTATAAATAATCTTTGGTTATTATGGTTTGTTACCTACGCAATTCAGCTGTATAAACATGTTTGACATTATAATTTAAAAAAATTCACAAGAGTCTGATGCTACACATTTATAAGCAAGTAAAGTTGACATGTGTCTCAATTATCTTATTTGGGATTTGGGCTTGTAAGCAATATACTGTTGTTGTTTTTTCATTAGTTTATAATGAGCGAATACTTCTTGCTTAACATTAAGTTTTTCTTTATACTTGACAATAAGTATAATCGTACTTATGAATTTTGGAGATTTTTTTTAAAAAAATAATTATACTTAGAAAAATAAATCTTAGCTTTAGATTAAAGCTATAAATTTTACCCTGCAATTAATCTTTATCGCGTAGTACCCCGTAGATAGCTGTACCAAACGTACATACATCATAACTAGTCCATTTTATAATTATATATGCTTTTTGTGTTTTGATTTTGCTATATTGATAATTATTCTTTGGTGTTAAACAAAGTTGTTATTTTTTAATGTTCGATTTAGTGAGTTTTTTTATTTAGATTTATTTTGTATTTTTTTTTAGTCCTCAGTTTCAAAAGAGACATCTACAGAAAGTATATTTCCTTAAATTAAAAATGCTTTTTTAAAACGATACTGCTTTGCTTAAATCAGTGACAAATGAAAACTATCTGCAAAATGGCAATTAAAATGATTTTCTGATGCTAGTTTAATCTGACTGTAAATTATTTAGACGTCGTGCGCGTTAGTTAAGTGTTACAACGTCAAAGATAAGAAGAAAAAGTTATAACGTCAATTGTTACAACGATATGGTATGAAAATAAAAGTCAAACTTTTTGCAATTTTTTAATTATATTTTTTAAGTAATTTTTTTTTAATTTTTTAATGACTTTTGGTCGAATTTTTTTTATCTCAGAAGTAAATATTTTTCTACTCAGATTTTATAATATTTATTTTTTTATGTTTTGTATAAAAAATCGATAAAATACTGTTATTTAATAAAAGTAAATAATTGAAATATATGTTTGTATAATTTTTCATATTATAAATACTACGTTTTGAAAATATTTCATATTTTGAATTTACTAACTTATTTAATTAGGTATTTATTAACAAGTCTTTATAAAACAATTATTTGATTTTTTCGTGCATATAAATAAATATGTGCATTTTGATGATAACGGACATTTAGGCAAATCATAAGTTGATACCAAAATTTTTTTTATTTATCAGTTATTTTTTAAAATATTGATGGCCAGGATAAGCATTTACGCAAATTTGCTGCATTTCAATTTAGATTGGCGTACTCAGTTACTATGCACTTTATCTCCTCTATCTATTTTTAGGGTAAACGACAAGAAAAGATCAAAGAACTGAGCGAGGGAATATTAAAATATTATAATTTTTGAATTATAATATTTTTAAATTTTTTTAGTTAAGGTGGTAGTACAGTAATTAGAAAAAAAAATTGTGTTCAACTTTTGAAAATGTTTTTTTTTTCTTCTCAAATTGTATAATATACTATTAAAAGCTACAAAAGAATTTTAAATTTTTAAAAATTTTTTTATTACTTATTATATCATTTAAAGGTAAAAAAATGGGGTAAAGGGCGATGAAGATTTTTCAGGAACCGTTCATAATTTATGATTGAAATTTTGTCTGGTGATATATTATGTGTGTCATTGTGTCGTGGACTAAAAGATTTAATTTAGATTCAAAACTCAATAAAATATTGGCATTTTTGTTAATTTGGGCAAAAATGGGGAAATTTAAGGGGCACAAAACCTTTAAAAAATACTTAACGAGAGAAGCAGTAAAGATTATTCTAGTGTACGTTGTAAATACTAATACAATAAATAAGTGATCCAAATTTCAAAACAATTTGATAATTAGTTTTGAAAATATCTTCGTCGCCAGCCCAAAAAACATGGTTTTGAGAATAAATGCAAATAAAAAAAGAAGGAAACAAACTAAGTTCAAATATCTTCACTTTTTTACATTACATTAACTAATGTTTTATTTTGATCACAAAAACTGTTTGGTATTTCTAATAACTTTTTTTTTTTTCGATTTTGTTTTATGGTTACATAGATTTTCTGCTTCCGAGACTTGTTTGGTGTCTATACAAAAATTACAATTTTGCCCATTATTGCTAAATGTCATTCCAAACTCATTAACAAACTCTGTTAAAACGCTGTTAAACTCGTTTAACAGTGTACACAACAGCTACTATGAACTTTTTGGTGCACATACAAAACTGATGGCAATCTTTTACTTGATTCTCAAAATGCTACAACATTAGGGTTTATGTCAAGTGGTGAAACACACCTGTAACTAGATCATTTTGTTTTGCATTAGAGTTCTTTTCAGCAATAGTAGTAGATAATTTTTTTTTCTTTTTCTTTTAGCAATAGTAGTAGATAAATAAATATTTTCTCATTAAGAACAATTGCAACAAGTTCATAGTCCAATACCTAAGCTTACTTTTTCAGAAGAATCAAATTGTAAATTTACAAAATCTTCATATTCTAGACATTTAAAAAGCATAACTATGTTTTAAGGTAAAATAAATCTCATAATAAAGTTAAAATCTTCATTTATGTTTTAAAAAAGCCTGTACAACTTCTTTGTTTAACGACTTATTAAGGGAGAATGAGTCTGGAATATTTTCGATTGAACTTCAGTCTGAAAGTATAACAGTGGTTTCTTTAAAAATGTAAACCCTATCACTATTTTCATGAAACTTTGATTTTACAAATGGTAAAGCTTTTTTAGAGATATTTTTCTTTTTGATCCATCCATGGCACTTTTATTTAAACAAAATATTTACAAAAAACTAAGGTATAAAGTCACAAATAACCCTAACAAGAACATAAAGTAGTACAAATAGCAGTCTTGTGCGCAATGAACGCGCATAAATCAAGTCAATAAACAAGAAGCGATAAGTGAGTAACAATACTTTGTTTTATAGAGACAGTATAAAAGTGTTTTTATTGCATTTTGTGGTACAATTTCATTGCAAAAATGCGTAGCAACAGAAAAATCAAAGCGTTGCTATGGATAAAAATTGATACTGAGTCATTTTAAACAAAGATTAGATGTAGATACTGAAGTTTTTTTTTTGTAATCTAAGAAAAAATTAGGAATCTACTATGATCTTATTGATATAAAAATGAATCTTTGAAATTTTTTTCAAAGATTCATTTCTATTTTAAATGATTTTTTCAATTTTCACTACTGTACTCTATCCCCTTAAGAAAGATTATAATGATACTATTTTTTTTTTATTTCGTATCATCTGATTTTTACGTTTAACGCTACGAATTTTATTTGCGTTCTTACGTAAGTTCCTTCGTGCGAATATTACCCAAATGGAATTATTCGTGTTCCAAACATTAATTTCTAGAAAGAATTATCGCTAATAATGTCCGAAACAAATCGCATTAAGTACGAAGGAAATTATTTGTTAAATAGTCGTTTAAAAAATTACAAACTAAAATCAGATTCTTGAACTTTAAACTAGATTTAAACAAATAGTTGAAAATAATATATTTATTGACGAAGTTTTATAAGGATATAATGATATTTGTTTAACGAATAGTACTATTTGTTTTTCCAATTGTAAACAAATAGTATTATTCATTTAACGAATCCACTTAGCTATGAAATGGCACAAGTTACTTTTGTTGTACCATCTACTCAAATGTCACTTGAACGTTTTTTTAGTTCTTCAAAAGTTCGTAGCATATCCTCTCAGAAACAGATTTAATGAGCATGTTTTCTTATGTTAATAAGAAATTCATTCTAATATTTAATGAGCATGTTTTCTTATGTTAATAAGAAATTCATTCTAATATTTAATGAGCATGTTTTCTTATGTTAATAAGAAATTCATTCTAATATTTAATGAGCATGTTTTCTTATGTTAATAAGAAATTCATTCTAATATTTAATGAGCATGTTTTCTTATGTTAATAAGAAATTCATTCTAATATTTAATGAGCATGTTTTCTTATGTTAATAAGAAATTCATTCTAATATTAAATGAGCATGTTTTCTTATGTTAATAAGAAATTCATTCTAATATTTAATGAGCATGTTTTCTTATGTTAATAAGAAATTCATTCTAATATTTAATGAGCATGTTTTCTTATGTTAATAAGAAATTCATTCTAATATTAAATGAGCATGTTTTCTTATGTTAATAAGAAATTCATTCTAATATTTAATGAGCATGTTTTCTTATGTTAATAAGAAATTCTAATATTTACACAAAGACCTATGAAAATTGACAAAAATAAAAAAAACACAAAGATTAAAAACCTAATGCAAATTTTCTGTATGTATTATAAAACTATTTAATTGTAAATGCTGTCTTAATGACTTAACCATGCTAATTATGTCGTTTTTTAATCAAGTTTTAGAATTGTTTTTTCTCTGTTACAGTATTTTTTTTAATGTTTTAGATCATTTCAAAATGATATATAAAAAGATATTAAAAAAAAAAAAAGAAAGAAAGAAATTAATATAACATTTTAACAACATAAATCTAGTCTATATATTTTAATTAAAGGAACTCAATACTGATTTAAAAAGATGGATATAAAAAAAAAAAGGAAGAAGCTAATATAACATTTTAACAACATAAATGTAGTCTATATATTTTAATTAAAGGAACTCAATACTGATTTAAAAAGATAAAATGTTTCACATAGCAAAATCCACTTTCTTGTTCACGACAGTGGAGTGAATATGATAAAAGTTGTATAATATGCAAAAAATGAATCTGCCAACTTTCTTCGTTTGCTATAACGGGTTATCAAAAGTTTCTTAATTCTCATGAGAAAAAAAATATATATGGTAGCTGCTGCAAGACAAATTGTCACCCATTTTTACTACTTTGGTATAGTTCGACAAAAATAAATTCGTCAAGAACTTAAATTGCTAGACCACCAATTAGTACAACTAGTAAGCACCACTGGAGTTCAACAAAAGATTTAATATTGCAATTATTAAAATAAAAATAATCTATTACTTGGTACATAACTAATCATGACATTTTAAAGAATTTAACACCCTCACATTGGGAGCTAATGGAACAATGTATAAAATGGTTTGAAGAGGTAACAAAAATATTCAGCTCGGGTATTTTTGCATTTCTAAGGTAGCTCTAAATTGTTTTACATTATCAAAATACCTGAAAAAGGAAAAGACTAAGAATATTAAGTTTATTGAAAATGAAATCTTCACTACAAGCTGAGTTTGAAGCGCAGTTCAACCTTAAGGATATTGACAAATATACGATTGACATTATTTTTTACAAGCGTTTCAAAAATCTAGGAATTAGTTAAAACACAGAGAGCAAAACAAAAACATTTTTCAGAAGCTCTGAGAAAAAGTTACAATGAGCACAAGTGATGAACGTTCTCCACTTTAGAAGAAAAAAAAAAATGTAACAATGATAAAAACCGTGGTGTAGTGTAAGATTTCTAGCTTCAGAGCTGAAGGTCCGTGGTTTGAAGCTGGCTCTGGCCATATATGCAACATTGATAAAGAAGGTAGCGTGATATTTCTGGTTAAACTCTATTCCGTGGTGCTCTGTGATAAAACCGTAAGGACTTCTTGGAGCACGTAAATAGCTAATAAAAAAACGTTAAGATTAATGAAATTTCAGTTTCTGAAATTGGTTTGAGAAAGTTCCAATGGAAAATACGCTCACAGAATAAAATTTCAAGCAGATAAACTTTTAATTATAAACTGTTTGCTTAGCTCGGATAGCTGACCAAGCCTAGCAGAATTTGCTAGCA